CAATATCATCATAGCAGCTAAGTAAATCTAGTAATTCCTTTTTGCAATGGATGAAGTATTCCAAATAATATGTAATTTTTCTGTTACTCATGAATGTATCAGCATTCAAAATGATAACACATGTGGGAAAGTACATTATCATGACAAAGTCCATTATTAATGCAATTCCTCTTACCCCTATCATTCTTCAATAAACAATATATTTAATAAAAATTATAAAATTTACACAGATTTTTTAAAAATCTAGTGATAAAAAAGTCCTTATTAAGCAATCATTGCAAGAAGAAAGCACACTACATTTTAAAAGCACATTTTCTTCTCGCATTTTATATTCTTTCGCATTTATATTCTTTCAAGGTTAAAAAGGTCAAAACCACTATAAGCGAGCAATAAAAATTTAGAAGAGGTTGAAGGTTACACACTGGTTAGTGGTGAAGGTTCTTCCACTAATATCACTGGTTAGCAGCCCTGCTATAACCGCAATGTGGAATGCATGGTGCTGCACTTAAAGGAAGTGGGTAAGGGTGGGGCAAATGCACTAGGTCCCACGATCAAAGCACTAGAGCATTGAATTTTACTTATAACCCAATCACTGACACCCACACAGCAGCTTCCTGTACTTTAAAAAAAAAAAGAAGAGAAAAAAAGAAAAAAAAATCTGTTTCTCTCTTTTTGCAATCAACAACTTTTACCTAGAAACTAGTTAGCGGTGAACTCTGACTGATTTCAATCTGCAGCTCATGGCAGAAAACATGATTGTTAATCTGTGAGAACCTACAAAGACCATTTTAACCGACAGGTTTCAGTGCATCAGCTCTTTCTATCTTTTTGTATTCTTAATTACACAGAAGTTCCCTAAAACCCCCCAAACTTGTATGAAAAAAAAAAAAAAAAAAGTGACCAGAAGTTCAGGATTGCTAAAACACTACAGAGAATGCTTTATGACAGAAAATTAAGTGTTTTTACAAATCTACAAGACCAGAGCTGTATTTTAGAACATTTTTAGAAAATAATACAGATTTAAATCCCTTTCTCAACATACAAGGTAATTGTACCTTGTGAAAGGCAACTATTACTTCTGTTAATACAGGCAATAACATTGTCTTGTTTTCCACTTAACAGAGAAGACAAATACATAACTTGCTATGCAAAGCACAGACCTGCTTGTATCTTTTTTTTGCCCCTTTTGTGCTTTTGAGCATTATTAAAAATACAGTATTGATAAATATAGGAAACCTTTCACTTCCCCCAGAAGAAACCTTCAAGTTCTTCGGTACCACCTGCTGAACACCAAATAACTTCAAAGTCCCAGGGGAACTGAACTCAACCTTGGGCATTAGGAACTTAATTAATAAATATATTCCTGAAGAGGGAAAAAAAAACAAAACAAAACAATGCAGAGTAGCTAAAGAATAACCAAGATATGTTCAGGCTTTGATGCTTAAATTCATACTAGCTACTTGTGCAACTCCTTTTTCTTAACATTTTCTGCTGCTGCTCACTGATTTTTTTAAACCTCCTTCAATTTTACTTCAAGATTCTGCACTTTGCTTTTTCCATATAGTGATTTAAAGTAGAACACTTCATCAGAAACACAAACGTAGGTGATGTTTCTTGAACCCAGTAAGAACAAGTTTAAAACTGAGAAAGATGTAAAGCCTTTGGTTCAAAAAGAGAAAAAAAAGAAAAAGGAGGAACGTGATTTACAGAAGAAAAATATAAGCCTGAGATTTAGCCTAAGATACAACTTCAAGGAAATAATCTCACAGTTGTCATTCCACTCAAGATTATACTTTTAGAGAGGGAAAGATATGGATCTCAAGGGTTTCTAATCCATGCCACACGACGAGTGTAGCTATCCTCACCAGATAGTAATAACCACAGACAGCTGTGAACAGAAGTTCCTCCTGATGGAGACATCAGATTGTAGCTGCCACCAAAATTTCAAAACAACAAACATTAGCTTAAAAAAAAATCTGTTTCTTTACAAGCAACCAGCAATAAGCAGGTCAGGAATTATAAAGTTCCACTAAGCACTATCTGAAAATTGCCTCCAGAGCCTTTTCATGGGAGCAGCCAACCTGATCTGGACATCTCACTTAGGTTTGCAGGTTCATCTGAAGGTCTTTTGATTCAATCTCCACCAAACAGCAACCAAAGGCAATGTCTGAAGTGCTTCAGGAAGAAGTGAGACTGGAYGTGCAGCTCTTTTATGGGGACAAAACAGACAGAGGGGCAAGAAGGGACCTGGGGCACATGTTGTCCATGTCTGGATGAGCCAGGACACCTGCAGTGTCCCGAGGGATCACACGATGCTTGCATGTCCCACAGCTCCTAATGAGGGCTGACTCCTGAAGCACCAAACCAGGAGAGGTCCCCTAAAAGCAGCTACTTTGGGAAAACAGTCAGGTTTTAAATTTATCTCTGTAAAAATTTTAACTAATGTTTTCTATTTGATTGCAGAGGGTTTGGCAACTAAAGCTTTTTTCTTTTACTAGATTTCTATTGTACCCGAGTAATAAAACTCAAGATAAGCCACATAAGGACTTCTCAATATYAAAATGCTCCATCTCCCCAACAAACAAATTCCCCAAAGAATTACACTAAAAGGCATATTAACTAGGGATAGAAAGGCAAACTGCAGATTTTTCTGGTAATAGCTGGCATTTATTTGTTTTTCAGCAAGATCTTTATCTCATACTTGTTTTTTTTAATTAAACAGACCACTGAGAAAGGTAAGAAACAACGGAAGTTTCTTTTCTGGTGTTTGTTTTTTGAGCAGTGCTCCCATTTCGAAGCACGCTTGTATCTCTCGCTAGCATCGCCGTGTATTACTATGTAATTTCTCATGCTTTAAGTAACCACTGAAGATCGCTTTAGTGTGGAAGGAAGGGAGGAGTATAGCTGCATAAGCACATGAGGCTCATTTGCTTTTAAAAAAACCTGCTTTGTTTCCTCCTTAGTCTATTTTATCATAACAACATTTGCTTCTGGTAGAGCAGCAGAGCCTTAAGAATATGGAGTCTCTCACTCAGATGGACAAGTACACATTTAAACAAATTTCTGAAAAGTCTAGCAAAAAAATGAGTGCACACAGTGAAATTCTAAATGACTAAAGCTAAATGTTCTCCAAAATTCATCACTATGTACAAAAGAAGGAATGAAAGGAGACATAAAACCAAATCCCCCATATACCCAGTCTATCTTGTGGCATGTATCCCCATTTTTTGCTGCTAGCATTGCACTGCATTTGCTAGAAATTATCATGTTTTGAGCAAGAAACAGAAAGAAACCACATGAAAGTAGCAATACAGGTATATTTAGTATTTGTTTGACTCATCCAACCTGACAGATCCTCTTTAAACATTGAATTATTTTATGCAGATTTTACCTAAAAAGATGGTTACTTAAACACTCCCTGACTTCTCAAGGACAAATAAGATTACCTTCCACTGTTGCATTTCTGCTTCTACTCACTTGTGTCCTAWTAGTTGATATTATTTGTCAAGTTACATAATATATCTACTCTAAATTACTAAAGGCTGTCGAGTATCTCAATAATGGAAAATATTTCCAAAAGGYAGGCACAGAACTGACTGCTTTGAGAACCTTCTTGCAATCCTAGACCATTTTCTCACTTTCTGGTCAGTTTTCATCAACATCCACCTACACAGAACCTCATCAATAAATTTCAAGGTTTGAAATCTTACTGAGATCCTCAGGAAATGCCTGCAATAGAAAGCGCTTTTCATGTTGCCCAAGGAGCTCTAGCATAACTGGTTTGCAAAACAAGATTAACAATATCTGTTATAAACAGGATGGGTGCAGGGTGCATGTTTTGCTCCAAAACGCAAGAACAGCAAGATAGACGATCCACATTTACAGACAGAGAAGCTTTGATAATGAATCTGTTTCTTTGTATTATGCTTGCTAACGTTGTCAGTGGATAGCAAAAAAATCTAGATATTGACCCACACAACTCCTGGACAAAATTATGTGCCTATTTGTAGAATCCACCTCTCTCTCTTTCTCTCTCTCTTTTTTTGTTTTTTCTTTTGAGAGCTAGCTAAACGTTCACCACTAACGTTAAACGAACTACACCACAGTTGTTAAAAGCAGACTTGAAACCAACATCTCTAAAGTGGCTTCAGCCCTTGAAACAGTTTCACTGGTATCTGACTGAATGTTTTGAGAATCAACTCTTCAGAGGGCAGAAGAAACCCTGAAGGCAACTCCCTGTTAAAAACATCTAATTTTCAATTCAGGAGACTGATACATCTTCAAGAATCTCTAAACGTGTTGGATGTGAAGCAGAAACAAACTATGTATTCTTTCTGAATACGTTTTTGATTTAATTAACACTGCAATGCATCCATGCAAGAACTATCACAGGGCAGGTCCATCTAGCCCTGAACTCTGTTCATGTTGGTGTCTAGCAGCAGATGTCTACAGCAAAAACATCAAAACAAGGCAAGGATGTGGCACTCTTCACATTACCTTTCAGACCTTCAGCAACTGACACTCCAGGGACTTTCTGAACCAGAAAGAGAACTCTGGCCTTTGATAGCCCCCGATAACGCTTTCTTCTAAGATCTTTTTTTTTAAAGCCTGTTTGAATTTGTCAGTTGTCATATTTTCTGGCAAATAAACACTAAGTTTAGCATACAGTATAAAATAAAAGTACCCTTTTTTGCTTACTTTGAAGCTGCCATTACTACTCTCACTTGATGCCTACTTGGAAGGGCCAGAATAATCGAACCCCATTTTTCCCAGCTGCAAGTGATTTTTACAGATCTGTCAACAACTGTCCTTAATCTTTTTTTYCCCCCCCAGGCTAAAGAGTTCCAGTCTGTTTTATTAGTAAATTATGTTATTTAGTGATAATCTCAGACTTTCCTCCACTGTTGAAATATAAAATGATGGAAGACTGACAGCTTGTCCTCACTTCCATATAGTAAACTTAGGAGAAAGTGGCTATTAAAAAACGAAAACCTTCTTACCACTGGGTGGCTTGGGCCGTGGAGGGACATTTTTCTTCGGTGGTAATGCTGGTGTGTCTGATTTACTTTTGAAAGGGTCATCTGAGAATCCCATTCCTCCAAAAGAGGAGGTGAAGGGATCTGATGCTGATGACTACAAGAGAAAAAAAGAAAAGGAATAAGCACACTGTGGTTTCACTTAAGCTACAAGGCAAAGCAAGCAAAAGTATTAACTCAAAAAAAAMCAGACAAATATTTACAGAATTATGTCAGTGATGTGACAGGCTAACACCCACCGATAGAGGTGCCAGAATCTTGCTAATATTCAGAAATATTTATGCTCTTAATTCATGTATGTACTTCTAGAGCTTCTACTCCTAGATAAAAGTTGATGAGGAAAACAATACTATTTTTTAATTTTTGGCAATGAATGATCATACTACAATCTAGACTTCATTTTATGATAATCAGAACTGTGAAACAAAAGCAGCAATTAGGAAAACATCACGGACTGTGCAATGGACAGATTTTTTTTTCTACATTCTTCTCAAATTACACATGCCTACATGTCTTCTTTTTCTAAAAGTCCATGGAAAATTCCAAATATATCTTTTAACCTGCTTTTCTATATTCAACTGGCTCTCCAGAGCAAAGAGTTCTCCTAATGTTTAAAAAAAGGCAAAAAAGATATGCAATACAGMGTAATTAATTATCGTGACATAAAAGAATAACGTAAAGCTCAAGCTCCACGTCAGACTTTTGATAAAACTTCTAGTTRAAGCAAAAAATACCAATATTGGTGAAAACTACTGCCACCTAGTGGAGAGGAAAAAATAAATAACAGTAAGAAAAAAACAGAAAATACTGCAGAGAGACTGAAGAGCTGAAGTGCTATTATAATCTATCTTCTAGATAACATTTTCCTGTGGTTCCCTGTACTAAGGGAAAAGTTTAAGAATAAGTCAGGATACCATTAAAGATATAATACCAAGAAGCRGACTTTATAATTTAGGGGAAGGCTGGAAACTGAAACATGTCACACAACTACTTATGATAAATAAAAACCAGAAGTTATTTGCTTTCCTCCTCTGACATTTGAAAATGTGTATAGAAAGGTGATTCTCTCCCTCCTGAATCTACCCGTTTTGTTAAGACTTAATAAAACTTAAAAGATCTGCTGGACTCAAGATAAAGAGAAAGTGAATAAAATAGTCATATTACACCCTTAAAAAAGTTTTAATTTTTTTGAATAGTTGTTTTCCTTGTAACCTTTACCTTTGACATTTGACTGAAGTCTGCAAATCCCTCACTGCTACTGAAAGCACCACTTCCAAATGGGTCTAGTGTTCCAAATGGATCTGAAATAGATGCGAAAAAAACATTTAAAATAAAATCTACCAATTATGAAGAACCACCTATTGCAAATAAAGAGCAACAAAGAGCAGATGATTGAAAAAAATATCTGTATTTTGCCCTGGCATGCCAATTTAAGACAGAATTCTGCAAAACAATATTTTTTTCCACCATTTGCTTGGAGGGAAAAAGCCTGTGGAGTATRTGGGATTTACTCTTCATAATCAGTTAAGATCACAGTGAGGCTATTTTCCTACTATTTTACAATATTTGTTTTTATTCTGAATTTCGATAATTGATTCTTCTTTCATAAAGGGATACCCACTCAATTCATCTTCAGCATAAGATTTATTCRTCTTACCTGGGCCTTTTGAGGAAATACTGGAAGATGTAAAAGGATCACTGCTTTCAAAAGGGTCAGGCTAAAAAATATGGAGAGAGATCTAGTTATTGTTCTGGTTGCATTATGTACTTGTCTTCTTATGATTATCAAAATCATTCCCTTCAGAACAAATTAAATCCCTTCTTAGTGATCTATTTTAACTTTCACATAAGGAAAGTGCTGTCAGTAGAAATTATGTTATGTGCATATTTTAAAATTACTGACCTTTGAGGGTAAAGCAGGGGGTTTTGTGAATGGGTCTGAGGTAAACGGGTCACTCTTTCCTTGTTTTTTGAAGAAATCCTCAGGGGCAGAAGTACGAAATGGATCACTTTCCTTAAATGGATCACCTCCAAATGGATCTGGAAGGAATATTAAAAGGTAAATGATACTTTATAAGTAAATCAAGGTAAATAATACTTTATAAGTAAAGCAACAGAAAATGTGCATAAGGAACCATTCTACATTTGACTTTATTCTCACTGAAGTATTTCCTCTTGAATAAATAGTCATGATAAATTACTAAATATCTCTTTAAACTAGCTTGCAGCAAGTATATGCTTACATTAAGTAAATGACAAAGCTATGGACTTCACCTAATAAAGTTAGATGTGTTATCACTGAACGTATTGATTCTGAACACATACACTGTCACATTATTGAATTCCCTAATGCAAATCAAAAATCTGAAGCCACAGAAATGTTGAAATGCATCTTTGTGTTTGGCTACAAACTGTGGATCTCAACCATCCTGGCATCAGAAAAGTTATTACCTGCTGGAGCAGGTGGCTGTTCTGCAAAAGGATCATGCTGGAAGGGGTCACCTATGCAGAACAGAAAAAAAATGTTTGTTTTATCCCCTATTTTATCAAGATAATAAAAGTTTGTGAAAGTATCATTTACTGAAAAACTGGCCTTCAAGGTCTTGGTCACTTACTGCCTTTGAAGGGGTCTGCTCCTTTAAACGGATCAGATTTGAAAGGATCTTCTGAGTGAAACGGATCTGTATGGAGTTCCTGCGTGTTATTGGTAAACATCAAGGCTTTATTCTTAAATGGATCATCCTAGAAAATAAAAGAGGAAAAAACCCTACAACAACCTTCCACAATTAAAATACTCAATTACCCATTCAGCAGAAATCCTACAGTATCTAGTTCCTGTTTAGTGATCTTAAAAATGTCTTCCYAAAAATCTTTCTAAATAAGTGGCTTCTAAGCAGAAGTTCAATCCATAGCAGAAAGAAATAGCTGAGGAGTTTGTAGAGACCACAGTGAAAGATTAAACTTTCCTTGCACTAACATATTTGGTTCTCAAATATGGGAGTTCGGGGGAAAGGGAAATAACACCACCATCAAAAAAAAATCTCTTCCTATTGTTTTTAAGAGATCAGCTTCAGGTGAGAAAATTCTTTGAAAGGGAGGGACGTACAACCTCCTTTTAGAGACTCTAAGTACAAGAACTTGCCACTGAGAAGTCATAACCAAGTTGTTTCTTGTCAACTCATCCACACAAGCTCAGCTCCAAGCAGTGATTTCACACTACAAAGCCCTATGTGGCAATATCACGATGTGGCAGGAAGAGCGGCACGTTCGGTCACAGCCCTTTCCCAACACTTTGATGACACCGAGTGTATCGGTGGAGACCAAGCTACAGCTTTGCCAAATTTCAAAACAAGCTGGGGTGCATAAGCAGCAAACTAAAGCCATGGAACTTGATCATGTTCAGCTGGTGGCATCTCTATCATTCATCTCTTTTGAGCCTCTTCCCTCAAATTGATTCTCTCCACCTGTGCCTATGGCTCCTCTGCAACAGAGCTCCAGTTAAAACTAAAGCCTTCCAACTCTAATGTAAAAAATATTTAATACCAATCACCTTACTGATACTGCTGCCTGGTTGAGGAAGACAAAGGATTTCTGTCCTCCCTTTATAGGGCATACAAGAAGTTTCATTARTGTTTCTCAAAACAGAGAGAACAAAGAAAAAGAGGAAGGAGGAATTAAGAAACAGGAAAAGGACACAAAGCTTTAAAGTTTCCTATAAACATACACTGGAGTTTTCTTCCAGTAAGTGAGAGTTACGTTTTATATGCAAGAGAAACATCCTGGAAATTAAACATAATACTAGCCATGCAAGTACAAAAACTAAGCGCTCAAGTGAGTTTTCAGACCATCTCTCAATAACAGTGTTACTGTTCTTAGTTTACACTCTTTTAAATAACATTACCTCTCTTTCTTTTGCCTATATAATTACAATTTGCTTACATATCTATTGCTAAAAGTTACCCAGGCAAATCCTTTGTAGCACAAACTCTAACCAAAAACCTAAAATCATTYTCAGAATCACTAAAATCTTTGCCTAGCTTGGCACCAGAGGCTGTTATACTGCAGGGATCATGATACTTGCTAATGTCCACTAAACAAGCATCTTAATAATTTCTGWTGAGTTACAAACCCAACTATTGCAAAATACACCAAAAAACAGTGTAAAATTTTTACCATAGCTCCATAATTGCTTCTTTCCGGCTGTGCCAGGCCTTCATTTATGTCTGCTAAATTTGTCAGGCTACCACCGTGAATCCCATTGAGGGCTTCATTGTATTGTTCTATACTCTTATTGACTTCTTGATGACTCTCTTGAAGTTGTGAAAGTTTACTTCTTGCCTAAGCAGAGAAAAAAGTTTGGTATGTTACTCTTTCAATAACTGTCACTCTCATAAATCAGATTTTTCCTGACTCAAATTGGCAATTTATTTAGTAAGCACCAAAGAGGTTAATTTTAGTACCAATATTTTTCTGTCCTCTAAAGTCATCTTTTAGCTAACGTTCACTCTTGGGCTTTTTAGAAGATCCAAAAAAGTGTACCTGATTTATTTCTTCCTGTGTTGATTTTAAAGATTTAATTATTGTTTCAAGCTGCACCTTTCCAGCCTGGATACTCTGCTCTAGCTGAGTCTCTTCTTGCTGGAGGCGATTCAGCTCTGCTTTTGCTCTGTTAAGATCATCTTCTTGCGATTTCAAATCTGATTCCTGAGATTGAATCTGCATTTTTAGTGAGGAAATCTGAAACAAAAAAAATTAAGATCATGCCAAAACCATTTATAATATTATATGAAACTATTATAAATATTCAAGCTGTAAAGCAAGCTTTCAACAGCTAAAAAAAGATAAAAATAACTTAGTTTTAAGGACTATATGTTTCTTATTATGTCAAAGAATAATATCTTTCTTATTATGTAACAGAATCCTCACTAAAAGCAGATAAAATAAAAACAATATATTATTAATATTCTAAACAACAGTTATTATTAACAGTATTAATATTCTAAATAACCACACTGATGATAAAGTTGATTAAAAAGAGCTTCTTCAGTGGTTACCTTGCAACTTTCAGAATTTGGCACCTTTTCCAGCCAAACATTTGCTAGGACTATAATACTGATTTTAACTCTGATAAAGAGCTATATTTACATATTTACTTAAAATGCTACTTATCCACTCTCTCACATGACCTTCAACACCAAATTTCTACCTGAAGATAAAATGTTAGTATGAAGGAACGTCTGGCACCTTCTGGTTCAACAGCCCCCTTTCAGTCTATGACCATTACAAAAGGTATTTAGATCAGCAAAATCTTTTCTGGGACCTCCGGAAATTGCTACGGATGGTAGAAATAAACACACCAAATCACTTTGTTTATGAAACAAACAGAATTTTCTTCGGCAAAACAATTACTTTCGAGCATCTCCAGAACTAACGTACACTCACCACCTGTGTTTCTTCCTGGCACTTCTGCCTTACGTCACTCAGCATATCCTTCAGTTTGGCTTTCTGCTGGTCCATCTCATCCAGGCGGTCCTGGGCATCTTGCTTCTGAGCCTCCAGCTCCTGCAAGTTACTTGTCTCCCTGTCTAAATCGTTCTGCAGCTCCTGAAGAAAATTCCATGGTTTGTGTTAAGATTTAGCTGTTGCCCTCTCAAGCATAGGGGAACGGGTTGAAAACTCCCAAGCATTCGCTATGTCATACAGACTATTTCATGCATGCAAATGCTTTTTTTTTTCCAGGGGAAACTATTATAAGACTAGGTAATGATCAAAACCAATATCATTTGAATAATGATTTCCTAAATTGCACAATTTAAGTACTAATGGAAAAAAAAAATTACAGACTGTTCATATATCATCAACTACTCATATCCGCCAGCCTTGGAAGAAATTATCTCTGATGGAGAACAGGAAAATAAAGATCTTTGTGTAAATTAGGACAAAATTCAATACAAGGGAAAAAGAGAAAGAATACTTAATCCTTCAAAGAAGTATTTTAGATTGAATTATATACTAAAAATGATAAACAGCACTTTTACCTGAACTTCATTGGTCTTCTGTCTGATTGATTCTTCCTTTTCCCTAATATCCTGCTCTAGGGAATATTTTTCTCTGTAAGGAAACAAATGTACACTTTGACTAAGTGCTTAAATGCAACACATAACAACAACAAATATATATATACGCTCAATTATTCTGAAAACACAACACAGCCAAAAATGCTAACCCATTGAGATGTTGTTTCAACAAGTGTATATCATTTATCTTGAAAAATATTATCTGTTCCAAAAGCAATCTTCTGAAATGACCTGGTGGGCTCCAGGATAGCTTTACAAAACTGAGTACTAACCACAGCGTATCAATGGGAAATTTCTCATCAACCTCACCTAGTTAAAGTCTATGAATCTAACCGATCAAAAGACAACATACAGCAATAATTTATAACAAAACACAAGAAACAGGCACAGCAATATTACATATTGAAATGGTTCTTCTACCCKTAACATTCTCTGTTAATAGTCCAAAACACCTACCTCTGCAGCTGTGCAATTTCTTGACTAATATCATCAAGTTCCTTCACTCCCGTAAATTCTCCTGATCCAACAGAACTTGAGCTATCCTGTTGAAGAATGAAATAGTCTATTAAAATGTCAAGTGGCAACAGAAGATCTTCCTTTGAAAAGGCTGAAGACAAAGGTGGGATATGACCCACATTTTATGCTTTGGAAAAACTCTAGGGGAGACATCAAAATATCACCCAACAACCACACATGCCACGTGATGCTCCCTGTGTGATGTTGAAAATTTTMCCTTTTCCCATTTAACTGATGAAATAGCTGAAGGATTCAGCAGATAAAAGACATGCACAAAGTCAAAGAGTAAACTTCAGGCAACAATGAACAAAAATTCAAAGACAAATCCCCCAACTCTGTTAAAGTCAACAGCAAAACTTCCGGGGAACTCAATTTAAATCAAAATGTCATTTCAGTCATTCTGAGCTTTGCCCCAAATTAAAAAAGGCCAATTTCTGCAGTTATGCCTGGTTCCTTCAGAGCTGCAGTTTAAGTCATTTTCACAGTGATTCAGATGTAGGACAGGGAAGATACAAAGGTTCTCCTCCTTTGCCTTTTAGGCAAAGAAATCGTCATTAAAGTCACCTTGAGATTATTGTGACAACCACAGGAAGTTTGCCTTCATCCAATATAAGAAAAAAAAAACAAGGCAACCCAATGAAGTTAAAATGTTCTACTGAAAAAGTCAGGATAACACTGCTCGCTGTTCCACATATACAAGTAGAGTATATAGACGAAACTGCATTCTTTAGGACTTTATAATTACTCACACGACGCATTTCTGTTAGTGCTGAAATTTCTGTTCCTACAGGGGTCAAGTAACCTGAGAGAGTCTATAGAGAAAGGATATAGGAAAAAGCTTAAGAGGACCCAAGCAATAGCAACAAAAAAAAATCTACGTAAGACTCAAAAGCTTTGTGGTTAGGGAAAGTAAAAAGCAAAAAAATAAAAAATGACTTAATTTATAGAAAARATGGGTATATTGACACAGTACAAGTATACACTGGGATAATTTTAGAAATTCATTGACACAAACTATTGAGGAAAGGAACAAAGCAGGACTCAAGAAGAGGAATAGATAGGCCTGTAAGGAATACAGGGTACAAAAAGTGTATTCCCATCTACTGTATTGCATTGTTAAAAATGTGTATTCTGRAATGTGAAAAAAACCACCAAACCTTTGTAGGAGGAGATAGAAAAAAGCAGTGGCAATAGTTTAATGTAATATTATGAAATACACATATGAAAAACTAGTACTGAAAGGTTTGAAAGTATATAAACTCAGTATACTTGAACTCAGTGACTTACCTGTATTGGAGTGTTCCTCTCCGTGGGAGGGATCATATCTGGGGACAACACTTGTGGAGGATCAATCCCTTTACTGACCTTCTGTTGAATGAGATACATTGCTAGAGCAAACTGATCTTTGCTTAGCTTTCCCATCTGTCTCGTGTCTGCCAAAGCCCTGGTAAAATGAGATTTACACTTATAAACCATCAAAGCTTAATAAGACTGAATATTTATCACAGTCTGAAATACAAATACATATCATTTTGTTTTGGAGTTTGTGTTAAGAGTTCTAGAACAGCACAACATTTTATTATATTTGGCTGAATAAAGCAGCATTACTCTCTACAAAAGTATTTAGAATATTAGAACTGCATGAAAACAATCACCATTCTCAGACTGACCTACATTCCTCTCCCAGCAAAGCAAGGTAAGAATTCACTCCTCCCTGCACTAAAAGAGGAGGAGTTTTTCCATATAGTCAGCGTGTCTAATAATACTTCAAAAGGACAAGTAAAAAGACTTCTTGTTTTTCATTATTAGTTTCGAAATCCTGCCTGGTAATCTGATTTCCTATATTGGATGGCTGCAAACACACAGCTACTACTTAATTCTTACCATATATGTGCTAGGAGGCTCTGGGACAGACCTGAGTGCATAAATATATCCTTCACTTCTTGGCCACTCACAAAGCCATCCATGTCCATGTCTGTTTTTAAGAAAATATCATCGTATCGCACTTTGTCAGACAACGGTACTACCCAGTTCACAGATGGCTGTAAAACAAAGTTTTGTACTTCAGTTAAAAGAACAYAAACAATGTGTTTATCAACACATTGCCTACCACACTCTCCAGAGTTGAATATGCTGAGCATTTTGTRCAATAAAATCAATCAGTTGAGAGGTATTTCCACTTTTCCCATTAATGTTTCAGGTTACGACTTTTAGATTGCAAGCAGCAAAAAATCCCAGAAAGGATTTCTACCTCACAGACCTTAAGACTGAAATTCACCTTCTAACTTTCAATTCTTTCAAAACTTACAATCTCCATCTCCTCCATCCAAATCCTTCAACAGATATTTTTAAACAGATATTTTTAAAAAGTGTTTAGATGTTTAAAAAGTGTTTAGATGAAGAAGATGGCAAAAAGCTGCTTGTTTTCTGCAATTCAATGATATAATAAAACCAATCGTTGGCAAGTAAGATCCGTACCTGTGCTTGTTTGATGCTGTGCTTGGGAGACAAACTCCCTGTGCTATTCAGACTGTTCACACTACCGTGAGAGGGGGTAGAACGTAGACTGTCTTTTGGTGGAGGACTTGCAGGGAGAACAGGAACTGCACCAGGAAATACAGGTGTCTTCTTTCTTTTGGAAGGTGGTATGAGAGAAGGGGGCAATATGGAAGGAACTGGCTCTTTCTCCAGAGCTCTATAAACCAAATGCATTGCCTGCAAAAGCAAAGAAGTCAGATAAAACATGTTAAGGAATCGAACAAAAWGCAACAAGATTGCCCAACATCAGTCATTCACATGTTCATAAAACAAAGATGGTAAGATTAGACATGTAAGCCACAGCACAGGGTGCTTTTCAAAGTAATTTCAAAGTGTTTAAACTCCATGACACAGGCAAGATTTAGTAGATGGTTTTGAAAAAGCCTGACTTATAGCTGCATGTGAATGATCTAGGTCAGAACAACAAGCTAGCAGATAAGGTTGCAAAGTCCTTGAGAGACAATTCCGAGTTATTTGCTCTRGCACATATTCCATGAATTGAGAATCTAAAGGAACTTACCACAGCAAATTCATCTTTGTCCAGGTGACCATCTTTGTCAATATCACTGAGATCCCAGACCTAGAGCAATTATGAAAAACACAATGATTCAGAGAACAAGTTATACTTATATCACTGGTCGTCATCATATTAAGTCTGCTAACTCTCAAACTCTCAAAAGAGATGTTTGTGACCATCCTATTAGTTATGTTAGACCTAGCTGTATATTCTCTGATGAGACAGACTGGATTAGAGTTTTCTCACAACATAAACCAAGTATTTTGTGAAAACACTGGTTTTAAACGGATTCTGGATGCAGGTCTCTCATCTCTTCACATAGCAATTGAGGACTCATCAAGATGACATCCAGAAATGTCTTYTGGAGTTCTGTAGAAGGGAATTTAAGCATCTAACAACTGTAGTTGTGTCATTACAAGTACAGTCAACAGAAMTTGCAAGAGACCTAAGGATGCAAAAGCTAGGGTACTCTAATATTTAGCCTTCACTAATATTGTTTTATCATTAATGAGTGGGAGTCTCATCTCCCATCTTCTCAGTGGTAGAAAATAAAGCCTAGCGAACAGAATTCACTAGAGTGAGGCTGAGTAAATTTGAATTCTACTCCTGGTTTAGCACTGAACCTCTATGTAAACTTAAGCTAGTTGGGTTACTTCTTTTGCCCATTTCCTTGGTCCCCTATCTTCCGTGCAAGCTTTTCCGAAACAGGAACAAGCTTCCTGCATTTCTACCATGACAATAACAAGATAAAATAGGAAGTCTTTCAAGACCAAATGCTCCATAACATTCTGGTACAAATTAAATGTCACATTTAGAGTTTGCAAATAATATAAAGAAACCCTTTCCAAAGTGATGAAAAGTCTACCACAAAACAGATACAGCTCTTACACAGAATACATTAATTTTCAAGTAAATCGCTAGGTAGAACATTACAAAAGACATTATTAATTTGAGGCAGAAAAATAATTTAAAGTGTTTGCTCCCCTTAAGAACATGTAAKGGATTCACCAAACTTAGATACTAGAGATGACTATTATGACATATGAAAATAAACAAGCAAAATAGAAACTCCCCAAAACAGACTTGGAAATTTGACAGCTACAGTGAAGTAGGATCCTTTAAATATTCTTCTCTTGTACAAACAGTGGATAGATTTTATGGTATGCCTAATAATTTCTATTTGGGAAATGTCAAAAGAGTAGACTGTAATGCCATAAAAGATATAATGGGTTAAGGAAGATATTTCTTTCCTTTAAACAGATGAAAACAAAATTTCCAGCTCTTACGATGAAGAGAAAGACAATCTACTCTAGTGCCCAAATTACCATTATTATTGTTATTTCTAAGTGGATGACTTCAGAGCCTACTTAACGTTCTTACTTTATGGCATGCACTTCATGTAAAATCTCAGCCAAAACCTGATCTATGTTGATAAGCTACACTTAAATATTTAACATTGCAACTAAGAGCAGTTTAAATAGAGGACAAATCTAAACAGCATACTCACCCTTCCTAGGATATCAAGAGGTAGCTTTGAATTCATCAGTACTGGTTTTACTTTGTCTCCTGAAAGTAAACCATTTACTGGCAAAAGGCTTTCAAAAATACCATCAAACTTTGCTTTTTCTTCCACCTAGTTGGTAAGAAATAGCCTGAATAAGTAAAAAAGTGTGCCTGTGTGAGTGTTGAAAATGAGATCTTGCAAGAAAGTAAGTCTGGTCAGTAACATTCTGAATTTCCAAGCTTTCTTGCAAGTACCATTATGTGGTATTTAAATGTAAAAAAACATGGAACTAGATTTAGGACCTTAGTTTCAAGGCTGAAATKATTACAGCTAAGAGAATGTAGTATGCCATATCTATGTTTCTACAGCATTCCTAAAGGGCAAAGCATTCTGATTAAAACACTGGTAACCAAATTTTAACCAATTCTGACAAATTCTGAAGAACTAAAACTAAACCTTATTCTTTCTAGACACTTTGCTTCCCACCTTATATTGCAACATGCATACTAAAARTAATTTTTTAAACTAAATTTCTACCTTTTGGAAAATGTTTCCATTAGAAAATTATCTAAATACAAATATTCCAATGTCAAAAGTTACTCTATTCCAATGATATAGACTGCGTGCACTACTGAATACTAATTAGAAACTATTATGAACTCAAGCTGTAAATTAATACTTTSGGATGGATTTGGTGAAATGCTTCACTGTTCTCAGTGGGGTTCCTTTATACAAACATGAAAGTGCTTACTATTAAGACTCTGGAAGAAATCCAGGCAGAAGATTAAAATTCATTGTATCTAAAAAACATTACACTGGAGGTTGCAAGAGGCTTATTTAACACTTATTTAAGTATAAACTACAGCTCAATACTCTCTATTGTGCACAAGCCTCCCATTGGAAAGGAAGGACTTTTGAAATGAGAAATACAGTTGGTACAAAACTCTCTCAACGGGAAAAGTACAGACAAGGAAAATATTTACTTTTAAAGAATGGATGGAATGTGTTATCTTATACACTTACCCTAACAGCCCAGTGAGTGTCTGTTGCAGGGGGTGTCATCAGTAAGGGACTGCTAGTGTCATGCTAAAATTAAAGACAAAGTTTAATAATATGTATCCAATTTTTTWAAAAAAGAAAAATATCTACGTCCTATTAATTTGTACTGTTACAGTAGTCACACTGTACAGCGTGTATTGGTTACCTAACCACCCCACTAAGAGATGTGCTAAGCTGCTAGGGGCAGCTTCTGTTGGCAATGCTGTAGTCCTGCCCTTCATTACATTCTGTTGATCCAGCCTCAAAATAATTACTTTTCCTTTGCACAGAAATTAGTTCTTAGCATAGTTACACCCATGCCAGTCTGGAAAGGGGCTGAAACATATTGCTAGAGAAAACAGGACCACGGCAGCTGTAAGTGCAGTTGCTTAAGGAGAGGTTTGAAAGCGGTCTGAAGTCTCAGAACCGGGACATTTATGAGCTAATGATTAGTGAAGCCCTCAAATTAGTTCTCAAATAATAAATGTGTATATTTAGGTACACGCTACTTACAAATTTAGGAGGTGGCACAGTCAAGTTCAGACTGCTCAGGTTAACATCATGGCCATTCTGTGCACATGCTACAAGGCGTAACGCAACATAGAAACCCTACAAACAATACAGTGTATTCTGTTAGAATAAGCAACCATTCTAACTCATTTAAAAGACAACCCACAAAGAAATCTCCCTATTTATTTAAATCTCAGTGACTATTGATATATGTATATCACACACCCCGATTAYTTATAATTTTCTGTTCTTCGTCTGTTTTTTAACCAACAAATTTCTCCAGCAGCCTCACTGAATAATGTTAATTAAACTTARCTAGATTACTAGATATATCTACTTGAGGAAAACAAAACAAACACTCTTATCCTATACACAAAACGAATACACGATATAGATAAGGTTTTCTTGAATCAAGACTAATCTGCTGAAGGTAATGTAACAGGTCCACACACACATTTTATTTACCTGTTTATCCAAGTACCCTTTACCTTCTGGGTCAGCCAAATCCCATATCTGTAGAGATACAAAATATAAGCTCTTGAAATTTTAAAATAATTCACAGCAAGTTATATTTTATAACCTGAACTGTTCATTGCAGCCTTCAAGTTATGAAATATGATTTTAAAAATAATATTTAATACTTATTCACATAATTACACAATCTCACTAACCAATCATCTGTGACTTTCCACTCAAAACTAAAACTAAGCCCCTAGCTGCACTTGTGCAAGTATACATGCAACTACTGAAAACATGATAAATTCCTTCAACCTACTTTTCCAAGGATAATATCAGAGAGACCAGATTTTTTAAGAAACAGTGCAGCTTCATTTGCTCCAATTCTCCCTGTGTATGCTGGGTCTACCTGAAAGATAGAAATTCACATTCAACTGAAGCATGTCTGACACAAAAGCACAAATAGGAGGGGAAATGTGTCTTGTCTATAGGTGAAAGGGATAGGCAAGCAGGTGACTACCACCCTGCAGGGAGAATCTACAGAAGTTGGAAGAAAGGAAAGAGGAAATCTTGGGGAAGCGGAAGTTAAACTTGATTTTTTTAATCCTTTTAGAAACCTACCTGTTTGTAATAAGTTTCATATAATGGATTCCCAGTAGAAAGCTAAAAAAGAAGAGAGATTATGAGCAAGCCAAGAATGAATGGCAGTCATTTAAGGAATGCCGAAGAGGCACACACTATATGGAACAAACTATTCAGGTTAATCTCCATCAAAAATATAAAACTGAGTATTATTGTGCTTGGTTCCAAACTAAATGGTTGAAATCTAAGCATGTAAAATATCAATCTTCAAAATTATGGCCAATGGGCTATCACCTCTTAAAAGTTCTTGTTCATCAGCATTAAAAATTCTATTTGCACTTCTGATTAGCAACACTATACGGTAATAAGGTTTCATAGACCAGCTCTGAACTATKTACCAAGCACTATCACATCCCAGTTTAGGTACTACTGATACCAAGTACTGATACTACTGATACTACTGACTTGGCTACATCATTCACTGAATATATACTTATAGAATATTTTCAGCGGTTACATACATGCACAYAGAGCATCCTGGTATCAAAATCTGTCTGCATTTGTGTGTGTTTCCACAACTAGTATCTTAGGCTACAACAGAGTACTGTCATAAAACAAACAAAAAAGCAACAACAACCAAAAAAACAGAATGAATTAATTAGCAGATGTCAGCTCTCTGGCAATGTTATTTGGATTTCAGCTTGCCTTCATCTTTATACAAAATAGCATGGTCAAAGCAAAAAAATTGCCCCTTTGGCACTCTAATCCATTATAGACCCCTTCCTTCTTSCTGACATTCTGAGCAAACAGAAGCCAAGACACCAAAAGAGCCTAAAGTTCCCAAATCCATCTCCTCAGTTGCCTGCTGTGACTATCACACAAATTCTAGCTATGTGAAGGTCACRTCTTCAATCTATTCTCTAGTCTCAACACTAACAGCAAAACAAAACACTCCAAACACTGTCTCACACAAATCAACCCCTTACAAAAAGGCTTTAAGAACACAAGCTACAGAACTACCCCAGAAAGAGGAACTGGGATGCAGATCTGATGAGAGAAAATGAAGACTGATACAGAGTAGGAAACCTTATTTCACACGTTTCTGGGATGTTTCCAATCAAGATGCCAAATACTAATTCAAGAAGCTATTCAAAACAATTATCCCCTGCTAATCAAAAGCAAGGGAACGCTGAGCCCTTCAAATACCAATTATTCTACTTAGCTAAAAAGATCGTGTGTTTTCAGAGAACAGCCTGGTTGTATTCTACTTTTACCCACCAGAAAGAAACAAGATATTGAATTCCCCCAAATCCGTAAACTCCTCACTTTTCCAGAAGTTGGGGAGAAGTTTGGAAGAGGGAAGCCATGACCATGTCTTAAACCTGACTTGTCATCTTACTGGCTTGTAGAAGATCCTCACAGATGAGCACTGTGTTCCTGTCCAAAGTAGGAAGCACATAATTCAGAAAAAAAAAAAAAAAAGAAAAAAAAAGTAGGAAGGACAGAGGCTAGCCAATTCTGAATAAAATCTACCCTGAAAGTACATGTTTTAGCCAACTCTCACCCAACCATATCCCTCTCATCTCTCAGAACGCCCAGAGAAGCTCGCCAAAGACCAAATRCCAGCTCCTCTCACTAATTTGGCCAGTATCCTAGAGCTTGCGCAGGCTGGATTCGCACCAAGACACAGAGCAAACCACTCCAGCAGCAGTGATGAAGGAGCTCATCTGATGACCAGACACTCTTCTCAACTTCATCTGATATTGCCAGCCACGACAAAGAGCTGCCTTACCTGCCAAAGGTGGCAAAAATCTGCCGTGCTTAAAAGCTTCGTCTCCAGCGCAAGTGTGCTTGGAGAGCTACGTCTCCAGCACTGCGCTCTGCCTGCAGAGCTGAGCAAAGTTTAAGCCTCTCTGACCCATTTACCTACCTGACTGCATCTCTGCGATGAAGCACACCAGACAGCAAGGGCTCCAGGGATAAACCTAACARAGCTGCCCATTCACCCTTCACGGTGTGCAACTGCATCACCACCAGTTAACTACCACTACTACTAGTTCTGGGCTGCGGGATAATTAATAAAGCTAGTTCCTGTAGTCAGCCTGGTTTCATAGGGCACTTTGGACTGGATGAACTATTTTGACATTTGCCTTGCTGGCCTCATGTTTCATAACTTTCCCTTGGCCACTTTTGTCACATCAGACCACAGATGTGAACAGGTACTGCAAAAGAACCAAGGTGTCCCACAAGATGACAGCTACAAGAGSAAGGTCACTGCTGTCCCACAAACATTCACTTGACCTTCGTGCTCCTTGCCGAATCCTCCTGAGTTCTCTTAGGAGAGCAACAAAACCAGCGAYGCTGTCCAAATATCTCTAGCATTAACTCTCCATATCCTCCAAGGGTGTAGGTTGAACACGCCTGGCACAATGGAAAGACTAATGATAAGGTGATCAAATATGCGAGAAAAAGTTATCAACGGTATATCAACACAGTTACTTAACACCAAGGACTGATTTTACATGCTTGCTCTTCAACCCTGTTTAAGCCTGGCTTAAACAGAGAGAGCTGAAATCTACTATATATTTTGCATACTGTGACTTGGATATCTCAATTCCTACACATAAAGCCAAAACTTTATAGAACAGGAAGAACATAAAAATACGCTTATTGAAAATGAATACGATTATTTTAATCACCTTCACATGCTTGGATTAAGTATATTTTTCATAGGTGTTTATACATTGATATGAACATTCCTTTTTATATATTCTGAAYGAACATCCTTCAACATTTTAGTACATTTAACCTTTCTTATTCCTTTTAACACAAAGGAACCCTTGGTAAAAATGCCTCCTTTATAATAAGCAGATAACTTCATAGYAAACATGAACTTGAAGCTATTAAAAAGGGAAGTTTGCTCACTTCCARTGAAATTCTGCTTACAGCCCTGACTAGAATTAGGTCACTCCTAACAATTCAATAGAGGAAGAAAATATTTCTCTTGAAAACTACAGTACTTCCAGTGAACTCACTGGAAAACATGTCAAAATAGTAGATACAACAACAGGAAAAGGCCTTTTTCTTCCCCTCAAGATATGTACTGTGTTATGTAAGAGAAAATATGACCGATGCCACAGTTTCTYAAATATCAGTTTAAATTTGCATAACACAGAAGTGTTATTTCTAGTTCCCAAAGTTGGAGACCTACCACGTGGGATTCGCTTTTATGGTCTCGTGCAAGACTGCACCAGACTTTTGCAGCAGTTCCTCAACAATAAAGCCCTTCGAGTCCAAAGTTTATTTTACTTATATCCTTCGTACAGCAGCACTTAGCTTGGAAACAGTTGATGGCTGCGTGTGCGTTTGTGGATGTTTTGAGATGTTTCTAATATCTGCCTAGATAAACGAATGCATCCAACCAAAAAACTTACTGCGGCTTAAAAGATAAAAGGCTGCGCTCTGCTAAGAGCCGGCAAACTGGGTATTACCCAGGCGTGAGACAATTCAAAAGCAAGGAAACTTTTCAGAGTGTTATGAACGTTTTTTTTTCATTCATGACGAATGAAAAAAAAAGCTATTGCTAAAAGGAAAGGGGTATATTGAAATGACTTGGTTTAATCAAACTTGTTATTCTGAGCAGCTGGCCAGAGCAGCAAAAACTGGAGGGTGGCGGGGAAGGGGGAATCGTTTTGGCTTCAAGGCGTTAGTTTATATTTCTTACAGGAAACCAGTAAACTGGAGCCCTCTGCAGCGTTATGGAAGCCAGCAGGCAGTGAGCACGACTCTTGGGGTGCGTTTACCGGGGAGGGAAATCGGTGAAAACGCTGGAAACGCCGGGAGCGCTCGAGCCGGGCGCCCAACGGGAGCTGGAGACGGGAGGAGCGCCCAGGTCGCGGCGCCCCCTTCCCGGCCCGGCGCCCCCAACCCCGGCCGCCCGGGGCAGCCCGAGCCCCGCACGCGAGCGGCAGGCGCGCCCCGCTGAGGGGGATGAGACCCCGCCACGGACCCCGCGCCGCGGAGCCCCGGGCGCCGC